TGTTGCTGTGCGATAAAAATAAATTTGTGTCGTCGGCAAACACTATTGTTCTCAGGCTGGATGCTTTATGAAGATCATTTACATATATAAGAAAAAGATGAGGTCCGAGTCTAGAACCTTGTGGCACGCCACAAGTAATATTTAGTAACGTTTTTAGTGATTTATCGTCAATGTGTACATATTGAGCACGATTATCTAAATAACTCTTTACACATTTTAAAACGACTCCTGTAATTCCATATAGTTCGAGCTTTATAATAAGAATTTGATGGTCGATAGTATCAAAAGGTTTTAATAAATCAATAAAAAATTTTAATGTATATTCAGATTTATTAAACGACTCGTTAATATTACGTGTAAACTGAAGTATTGCATGCTCTGTGGAGTTATTTTTTTTTGAAACCATGTTATTATTAGTATTAGTATTAGTTTATGCTGTGACTGGTATTGATACCACTGAGTGTGGTTTTAAGCACACTAAGGCAGCTGAATCCCGTGATGGTTTGACTCCCATCGATCAAGTTTTGCTTTGAATGAGTTTGTTGAAGTAGCCCTGACAATATTTTCCGGCAGTGCATTCCAATAACTTGCAGCTCGATTAAGCAAAATATTTTCTCTATACTTATGTACTGAAAATTCTTTAGAATATTTCAGGCTATGGCCACGAGTACAGTTTGATTTAAATGAATAAATTTCTTTAAATTCAACTTTATCATAACCTTTGAAAATTCTATATAGTTGTATAATGTCTCCTCGTTGTCTTCTTTTAATAAGTGAGTGTATTTTAAGATAAGCAAGTCAATCTTTATAGCATAATTTACTGATTTGAGGTTTTAGTTTAGTGGCACGACGCTGTACTTTTTCTAAAATGATTATATCTTGTTTTTGATAAGGAGCCCATTCTGGTATAGCAAACTCAAGTAGCAGTCGAACAAATGAAAGATATAGGGACTTAAGCAGTTCAGCATCAATTCGAACAAAAGATTTTTTTATTATGTCCAACATGCGATTAGCTTTGCTTGCACTTGATAATACTTGATTTTTCCACCTCAAGTTATCTGAAAAAAGCACTCCTAGGTCCTTTTCTGAATCTGATGTATTGAGTTTACAACCATTCATATAAATTGGATATCTCTTATTTTTATAGCCATAGTGCATAACTAGACACTTTTCAATATTAAAACTAAGCAGCCAGTCTTGTGTCCAAGCATATGCAGAGTTTAAATCGCACTGTAGTTTATTATGTAACTCATCAGAAGAACTAATTGACATGATTTTTGTGTCATCAGCATAAAGTTTTGAAACATTTTTTAGAGACTCTGGAAGATCATTTATATAAAGTATAAAAAGTAGTGGACCCAATACTAAGCCTTGGGGAACTCCGCTGTGCACCTCAGCCCAAGTTGAAACATAATCTCCTATAACGACTCTATGCCTTCTATTAGATAAGAAAGCTCGAAACCAATCAAGTGCCAAGCCACTAACACCATATGCTTTAAGTTTTGAGATAAGCCTTTGATGGGGAACGCTATCAAACGCTTTTTTAAAATCAAGTAAAACTACATCAAGAGGAATTCCTTGATAAACACTTCTTGTAATATAATCTAAAGTTTCAAGTAAATTTGTCGTACATGACCTGTTTTAACAAACCCATGCTGTTGATTAGCTATAATATTATTTTCATAAAGGTATTTTTGTAACTTTCTTTTTATTATGCCTTGAAGTATTTTAAAAGTAATACAAGGTAGTGATACAGGTCTATAATTTCCAGAATCAGTCTTGTCACCTTTTTTATATAGTGCAGTTATATTTCTTGAATTAAATTGATTATAGTGCAGTTATATTTGCTGAACTAAAAATTATTGTGAGAGGAAGAGCAAAGGCAATAGCACAGCTTTTCAATATAGATGGATGTAACTAGTCAACTCCATACGCTTTGATTTGATCAAGATTATTCAGCCTTTCAAGGACATCATCATAATGGATATCTTCAAAAGATAGATTAAAGGTGTTATCATTGGTTCTATTTTTAAATAATGGAGTGCAATTATTATTTTCTTTGACAAAAAAGTTTTGAAAACTTATGTTCAGTAGATCAGCAATCTTTTCTGAATAGTGAGTTATTTCACCGTTTTGTTGTCTCAGAGCTATTATAGAGTCTTTAACATATTGTTGTGAATTCACATATCTATATAATAGTTTTGGGTTCTTTTTAGCTTTATCAACAACCATTAACTCATACTTTCGTCTTGCTATGGAAATTTCAAATGAAACTCTTTTTGATAATTCTTTATATTGTTTACAAAGATTTGAGTTTTTCCATTTACTCGAACAATTTCTGTATCTTAAGTTTCGCTTTTCTCTAATGAGTGAGATTAATTCTTTAGTAAGCCACGGGTTTTTTGATGACGAATTTACAAACAAAGTGTTTATAGGTACATATAAGTTACATGCTTCTTCAGTGTAATGAATTAACTCTTCATACATTTCTTGAACATTTTTGGCATGAAAACATTGAAGCTAATCAACACTTGTAAGGAAAGTACTAATACTATTATAATCTGCTTTTCTATATAAAAATTTATTTCCCTCTGTATTTACATTTATTGTGTTGTTTTTAAAAATAAAATGAAAGCACATTATTAAATGACCTCTGGATAAGTTTCCTAAAACAAATTTATTATCGATGGCAGTTATATTTGCAGACTGAGTAGTGAATATTAAATCTAAAATGTTTACAGCAGATTTATTTGTTGTTTGAAAGGTTGGTAAATTTACATGCTGATATAGGTAATTTATTTATTATTTGATAGAAAATTTATTATTTGATAGAAAACGTGCTCAATATCTGATGATCCTTTAATAGAATTTATAGAACCATTAGACCAACTTATCCCAGGAAAGTTAAAATCACCAACTATAATAAGATTTTTGAAACCTTTTTGGTCAACATATTCTCTTGCATTTTTAAATACGTTTTTAATATTTGTCATATCTGTGAAATCATAAGGTCTTTAAATACATCCAATAAGATATTCATCATTGCCAAATTGAATTACAGCCCAGACTGTTCTATTCGACTTAATGTAAATGCATTATTGTTTAAGTTCATAAGAAGTAATTTTAGCATCAATATAAATACATACACCTCCACCTCGACGACCATCACATCTATCTTTTTTATATAAGCAATAACCCTCCAAATTGCAGAGAGAATTAGGTTTGAACCATGTTTTAGTAATGCTAATAATTTTAGGATTGTAAGTTGCTTTATTTTCAGCTACTTTATCATCTAAAGAAACTTTATCTTATTCTGCCACTCCATAAATAACAATATTTTTGGCTCTCTTTTTACGCTCATTTAACTCATTTATAGTAGAATTTGCTATAATAAGTTAATCGTTTGGCTTCTTAGATTGTTTTCCTGATTTTTGAAATTGAATCCAGTTGTTAGTGTTCGATTGTTTGACTAAAGAGCTAGTTTGTGCAATGTCAATTTTTAACTGATTTATTAATTCTACATTAACCATTTTCTCTGACCCTAATTGTTGCAAGCGGTCATACTTTAGTTTTTCGTTCCTCTCAATATTATTTATCCGATCAAAAATTGTGAGATTTTACCGAACCATTCGTGCAATATTTTTGAAGTTGCTGAATGGTTTCCTTGAGCAAAGGCTGGCCAGTTTTCTTCTGCCAAAAATTGAAAGTCCATTGTTTGATATAGGAGGGCTACCACCTTTTACAGTGGATTACCTCCTGGTTGAGAATTATTATCTTATTACACAGAGACTAAAAAGTTTCAGTGTGTGTTTTATTCCGTATTGATTATTAAATAAAATATTATTAACAGAAAGATGAGTGTTGATTTTGTTATATAAGACTCTAAAGTTTTTGAAAATACAGGAAGAACAGATATAGGGCGATAGTTATAAACATTAGTTGTATCCCCTCTTTTAAATATTGGCGTTACTTTAGCAATTTTAAGTTGATCAGCGAAAACCTTTTGGCTAACGCATTAAAATCTTTTGATTTTAATTACAATATTTTCAATAAAATTGCAAGAATTTATAACGACGTTTCCGTTGATACCGTCGAATCCTATTGCTTTATTTGGCTTAATCGTTTTGAAAGCAGCTTCAAAATCCTTAACGGATATTTCAATGCAATTAAGATTTGTTACTTTTTGAGATAAAAATTCATAAGAATTACTTGTATAAGATATAATTTTTGCTAATTTAGGCCCCGCTAAAATGAAATGCTTATTTAGTTCAACTGCAATATCGCTTGAAGCTTATAAAATTTTATCATTAACTTTAATACCGTTGGGAAAAGCGCCTGATTTAGTTTTAGCTTTACGAGTGATTTTTTTAAAACTTATTAAATCCGTTTCGAGTTGTTTATGTTTTTTTCAAGTATGTCAAGATAGTATTTTTTTTTTAATTTTTTCTTTTTCTTTCGAATTTTGTAGCATAATTTTTGTAAATGGTTTTATTTTCAAGTGATTTGGATTTCAAGTACTTAATATATAATTTTTGTTTAAGTTTGGAAGATTTTTATAATATATAAAATATATTAAAAATATATAAAATATATTAATAATATATAAAATATATTGAAAATATATAAAATATATTAAAAATATATAAAATATATTAAAAATATATAAATATATATATATATATATATATATATATATATATATATATATATATATATATTTTATATATATATATATATATATATATATATATATATATATATATATATATATATATATATATATATATATATATATATATATATATATATATATATATATATATATATATATATATATATATATATGTATATATATATATATATATATATATATATATATATATATATATATATATATATATATATATATATATATATATATATATATATATATATATATATATATATATATATATATATATATATATATATATATATATATATTTTTTTTTTTTTTATAGTAATTTCACAAAACGCTGAAAACCGTAAGTTGACTTTATTTTGACTGATATTATTTTTTACAATATCTTTTTCAAACTTAAAATTAAAAAAAAAAAGAGGTTAACTTTGTAATACGCATATTTAAACATTTTATTTGCATTATAGTATTATGTCATAGTTTTTGTTGAAATTTTTTTTAAATAATTATTTTTTAGTATGAATAGAAATTTTTTTGAGTTTTCACTTTACAATAATTTCTAAAAAGGTCTAAAAAAAAATTTTATCATTAACGGTTACAGTGCAATTATATGACAAAAACTTCTTTTCTTGTATTGCAAAATAATATATATAATTTTTTTTTTTTTTTTTTTATTTAATTTAATTGAGTTTGACTTTGACCTCCATTTGAGGTCAAAGTCGAACATAGTTATTGTTAATATTATAAATAGTTTCACTTTTCCAATTGCAACTTTTTAATTTTAATTGTAGGTTTTAAAGCTTGTAAATTAGTTAGTTAGGTGAGCATGATGATGTCATACTCACCTAATGTCAAATAGGCTGCTGCTGGGGGCTTCAGTACATACATCGACTGACAAATAGCCTGACTCGCAGTGGAGTGCTGCTACATTGACTAAGGGTTTGGTATGGGTCAGCAACATTTTCATTCATTATTCTTCATTTTCCTTCATTGTTTTCTATAAAATTTAGGCTAGCAAAAAAAAGTGAGCAATTGCGCATATAAATATATATACATACATATATATATACATATATATATATATATATATATATATATATATATATATATATATATATATATATATATATATATATATATATATATATATATATATATATATATATATATATATATATATATATATATATATATATATATATATATGAATATATATATATATATATATATATATATATATATATATATATATATATATATATATATATATATAATTATATATATATATATATATATATATATATATATATATATATATATATATATATATATATATATATATATATATATTTGTCAGGTCAGGTTTGTTGTTTGTCAGGTCAGGTTTTCCTGCTACTGGTAACATGTAACCCAGTACAACCTGCTCCATGTCCTGCTGCCTTGTAGGATATGCTTTTTTAGGCAAAGGCTAGGAGAAGTTAACTCCGAATTAAAACACCCCCTGCCTTGGGGTTCTTGGTTGAGTAAAGGCTAGAGATGGTGTCACGATAAAAATACTCATCTTGGGCAGATGTTACATGCATCCAGCTGCTGTCTTGTAGAAGGCCTCCTAGGCAAAGACTTAAGGGGTAAACAGATTCTATCTGTTGACCAGCCTCGCACCCCTTCCTCATTTATTGGGTTGGCGCAGATGTATTTTTAATACATTGTTTCCAGTTTAGGATGTTGAACGCTGGATCTTCTTGACTCAATGCGTGGGTATTGCTTGTGTCTCTATTTTTATGACTGGGCAACTCATTCTATTATCTCCTAATGAGGGTACAGCTCTAAAACTAAGCTTTATGGTTCTGAGGCCGGCTGGTAGTCAGGTTTCCCGAACTCTGTGGTAGCTCTCAGAGAGGCTGATTCCATCAACAGCCGAAAAATATCAGAGTACTAACAGTGCCATGTTGCGCATGGATGGTGTCCCTATTTGTACTTTTGGTGTGCATTGCAGAGGCCAAATTTGGAGCCCTTTGTTACGGCTTAGGGTTTATTAATAGTAATGAGGCTATTGCTTAGTTGTTAAATAGTGTTCTGAGTACTATTTATACTTGAGTCAAGTTCTTTATAAATTTAAAATGACTAAAGTACCTAAAAATAAAAAACACAAAAAACCATCGTCATCACCAAGTTCTCTAAACCTATCATTTACTAATATTCGTGGTCTTCGAAGTAACTTTTCTTCTGTTGAGTCTTATCTCTTGCAAAGTTCACCAGACCTACTTGCTCTTTGTGAGACTAATTTGAGTTCGGCTGTCCCATCTTGTGATCTTAGTGTTGATGGTTATCTTCCTTTAATTCGTAAAGACTCCAATAATCACATGCTTGGCCTGGGCATCTACATTCGTAAGAACTCACCCATTTGTCGTGAAACTAGGTTTGAATCTACAGACTATTCATTTATGTGCTTTCGTTTAGCACAACTTCACTCTATCGCCTTTCTCTTTGTTCTATATCGCTCTCCTTCATCTCAAGATTGCACTATTCTTAATGTTATTTCTGATCAAAATGACCAAGCCCTCTCTCTTTATCCATCGGCCAATATCGTCGTTGTTGTTGACTTTAATGCTCATCAAACTGATTGGCTTGGCTCTAGTGTCAGTGACTCTGCTGGCGTTAAGACCCTCAACTTTTGCCTTTCTCAATCTCTAACTCAAATAGTCAACTTTCCAACTCGTTTTCCAGACAACCCTAATCATTTACCTTCTCTACTCGACTTATGTCTTGTTTTGGATCCTAGTCAGTGCTCAATTTCTCCACATTCACCCTTAGGTACTTCTGATCACGGTTTGATCTCTCTAAAACTATTATCAAATTCTTCTACTTCATCAGAATCCCCCTATCACCGTACCACATACAACTACCTTAAAGCTGACTGGGTCTCTTTCCGTGATTTTCTTCGTGATGGCCCTTGGGAAGAAATCTTTCGTCTTCCTGCTGACAAATGTGCTTCTTACATAACTTCGTGGATTCAGGTTGGCATGGAATCTTTTATTCCCTCTCGACGATTCCAGGTCAAGCCTCACTCTTCTCCTTGGTTTTCCTCACATTGCGCTGCAGCAATTTCTAATCGAAACTGTTACTTCCATATCTATCAGCAAAACAATTCTCCAGAAAACAGACATCTGTTCACTATCGCCAGAAACCATTGTAAAAAGGTTTTGTCTGACGCCAAAGCTCGCTATTCCCAGGTCATTAAATCTTGTATCTCATCACAAAAATTAGGCTCTCGAGACTTCTGGAGAATCTTTAACAGTATCAATAATAAGGGCAAATTTTTTATTCCTTCTCTCTTGTATCGTTCAGACTTTGTCACCTCACCTAAAGACAAAGCTGAATTGTTTGCTAAGAACTTTTCATCAATATCATCTCTTGATTCCACTAGTTGCGTTTTACCTGATATAGCCGTCAAACAGGTTGATCCCTTGCTTGACATTCGCATCACTTCAGCTTCTGTATCTAAAGTAATTTCCTGCTTAGACTCTTCAACAGCTTATGGTCCTGACAACATTCCTGTTGTAGTCTAGCAGAGGTGTTCTCCGGAGCTTTCATCCATATTTTCTAAACTATTTAACAAGTGCTTATCAGAGTCTTGTTTTCCATCATGCTTGAAAGCAGCATCTTCTATCCCTATTTTCAAAAGTTCCGGACAGCGAACTGATTCATCTAACTACCGTCCCATTAGTCTTCTTCCTGTCATAAGCAAGGTTTTTGAATCTTTAATCAACAAACACTTAATCTCTCATCTTGAATCAAATAACTTACTTTCTGATCATCAATATGGATTTCGGTCTTCTCGTTCAACAGCTGATGTGCTAACAGTAATAACCGATAGGTTTTACCGTGCATTAGATAGAGGTGGAGAGGTTAAGGCTATCGCACTCGACATTTCTAAAGCTTTTGATAAAGTTTGGCATGCTGGTCTTCTCCATAAGCTTTCTTCTTATGGTGTAGCTGGTAACGTCTTTAAGATTATTGAGTCCTTTCTTTCCAATCGTAGTATAAAAGTTGTCGATGGACAACACTCTTCTTCACATCCTGTAACTTCAGGGGTTCCTCAAGGTTCAATCCTTGGCCCTATACTCTTTTTAGTTTACATTAACGATCTTCCAGATATTCTCAGAAGAATCTTCTGGGAATATCTTTCAGATATTCCCAGAAGCTTACACTCTCTGATTGCTTGGAGGGGGTATCTGAGCTTGAAAAGGATCTCACTTCTGCTACAGCATGGGGCTCACAGTGGCTGGTGAACTTTAATTCAGATAAAACTCAATTTTATTCGGCCAATCGTTATCGTAATAATTTAGATCTTCCTATATTTATGAATGGTAATGTACTAGATGAGTCATCTACCATTCATCTTCTAGGATTAACTCTTACTTCTGATCTTTCTTTTAAACCGTATATCAAATCCATTGCAAAATTAGCATCTGCTAAGGTTGCATCTCTTTATCGAGCTCGACACTTTCTTACTCCAGATTCTATTCTCTATCTCTATAAATCTCAAATCCGTCCCTGTATGGAATACTGTTGCCACATCTGGGGCGGATCTTCTAATGATGCTCTTTCTCTTTTAGACACGGTGCAAAAACGAATTGTAAACATAGTTGGACCTGCTCTGGCAGCCAATCTCCAACCTTTGTCTCATCGTCGTAATGTTGCTTCTCTTTCTCTTTTCTACAAATACTATAATGGGCACTGCTCTAAGGAGCCAGCGTCCCTTGTGCCATCTACTAAAATTCATTCTCGTGTGACTCGCCATTCAATTAAGTCTCATCCTTTTTCTGTGACTGTTCCTAAGTGCTTCAAAAACTCTTATTCTTCTAGTTTTTTTCCTCGAACATCAGTTCTTTGGAAGTCGCTTCCTTCATCTTGCTTTCCTGATTCATATAATTTGCAATCTTGTAAGTCATCAGTCAATCGTTATCTTGCTCTACAGATTTAGTCTTTTCTCTTCCAGTAACTTCCAACTCTTATATTGGTTGCTTGCAGCCTTGTTGGAAGTGAAGATGTTAAAAAATATATATATATATATATATATATATATATATATATATATATATATATATATATATATATATATATATATATATATATATATATATATATATATATATATATATATATATATATATATATATATATATATATATATATATATATATATATATATATATATATAGGAATTGTAGTTTTTTTTTTTTTTATTATAATTTTTTTTTTAATTATATTCACGCAAAGTCAAATAACGATAATTAATTTAGTTTTATTTTTTAGAAATACCACAAGATACTGGAAATCGTAAGTTAATTTGTTTTTTAACTCTTATTTAGCTTTACATACATATTAACAAATAAAAGTTAAAAGAAATGTTTTCGAATACAAAAAAAAAGCGTTTTTATAAAAAGAAAAACAAAAGCGATTTATATAAATAGGCAGAAACTTAAAGAATGTATGGATGACTAAAGTCACCACATTCTTGTCATAGAACATTGTTTTTTAAATCAGGTTAGTTCATCCTGCTACTCGTAATATGTAAACCAGTCCAACCTGCTTGGTATCCTGCTTTCTTGTAGAGTACGCTTTTTAAAGCAAATTCTAGAAAAATAACTACGACTTAAAACACAAACTCTGTGGTAGCTCCCCTGATTCCATTAACAGCTGAAAAACATGAGAGTACTAACAGTGCCGTGTTGCGCATGTATAGTGTCCATATTTGTATTTTTGCATGTTTTACCGATGCCACATTTGGAGCCTTTGTTACGGTTCAGAGTTTACTACTAGTCGGTCTTATAAATGTAGCTTTTTTATTGAATTGGTCTCTAAATGTTCTATGTTTTTAAAATCATCGTGCTTGTTTACAATTATTAATAAATTATTGATTTATTAAATCTATAATATTCTATCTTTTAGTGAGTATTTACATTTTGGTAATTATTTTTGCGCTCAAAGAACTTCCTTATTTGACATATTTAAAAGTAAAGTAAACACGTGTAAAAAAGAATTATTGAAACAAAAGTTCTTTATTTATGTTATAATAAATTTTGTGACAAGTAGATGTATAATTACAGATGAACAAGAAGGAAATAAAAGGAGAGGCATAAAACTGTAATATTACGGCATAGACATTTGGGACATTAAACTTTTAGTTTGCGCAATATTATGGCATGGACTGTTAACGGGTTAAGTTATCTATTACTGCAATAATTTTTTCAGTAGCTTGAAATTTTTATTTTACTAAATCATGAGCAAAGTTGTTTCTTTTTCCAGAGCCACATAAAAAACTATTCAAAATATAAATTGATTCAGATTCACACAATATAAACGACTTCATACTAAGTTTTTAACGTTTGCTTAGAATGTTTTGATTCCAGTTACCTCACTAAAGCAGTAATATTTCATCTATTGATATATTTCTATGTGATACGTACTAGGGGTGGCACTTTTAATTATTTTGATTTAAAAATGCGAATTACTTTTAAACGTAAATTACTTTAAAAATAAATAATTTCTTGCATTTAAGAGTAATTCGTTTTATTTTTTTTTTTTTTTTTTTTTTTTTACATAAATTATATAACGTGTAAAACTTAATTACTTAAGTTAGTGTTTTAAATGATTAACTGTTACTAGAAAAAGTAATTTACTTTTACAAGTAAAAATTACTTGCATTTTAACTTTTACTTATAAATGTAACTTACTTTTAATGGTAAATAGTGTAGAGTAAATAACTTTGAAAAGTAATTTAAAAAATTTGCATCAAAATAAAATTATTTTTTTTATGTAAAAAAAGTTATTTATGAAGTAAACTTACGTAAATATAATTTTTAAAAAACATAACACTTACTTTACAAAGTAAAATAAAACTATATCATAACCACAAATTACTTTTACGTGTAAAAAATTATTATTTACTATTACAAAATTAAGTAATTTTTTTCATTTTATGTACTTACAAATTAAAGTATAATACTATTTTACAATATAAAGTATATAACCATTTTATTTACTTTGTATGTAAGTAAAATGTAAGTTATATTATTTACTTTTGTCATTTTATGTTGATTTAACATAAATTTTGAGTTAGGTAGCATATACGAATCCATTGCCTGTTTGAGGGCTCCTCTAGGTAATATTTAAGGTAATACTCTGATGTATATAGGCAGTGTTTGTGGTAGGAAAAACGATTTTTTTTCGCGTACTTCACAAAAAGTAATTTTATTGTAATTAGAGGCAAGTATATTCAACATTTTCAATCAATTTTTTTGTTATAGTAATATGACGCAATATAAGGCTTTTGATATCCACAAGGATATCGACTGCTCAATTATTCTTCAAAAAATTAAAAGTCAATTAAACTGATATAGTTTGTATAACTAATGGAATCTTATTAATTGATCTGATATAGTTTGTAATATTAATGGAGTCTTTATCAAATTTAATATTTTTTAGCGTTTTATCATATATATAATCTATTTGAAAAAGATGGTAATTACCAGCTCTCTTTAAGAAGAGCTAGTAAATTTTCTCCCTATTAACCTTCTTTTTGTTGCGTCGGCATTAACCTTCTTTTTGTTGCGTTGTGTAGTCCCAAAAACCAAGCATGTTAATTTTTTTTCCTCGGCATTGTAATCTTATTTTTTTTCTCTAATATTTTATTTTTTTATAAAGTTGGGATTTAAAACTTTAAAACATGATTTTTTCAAAAAACCTTTGAAAAGACGTTTTTTTGATTTATTTTTTTTTAAATTATTTTTTTTGTCGGGAGGAAATAGGTTAGTGGCCCTGATTTACTATAATTTACTGTAAAGGAGGCGGACATATTTGTAACTAGACTGCTGTTTTTCACTTCTTTTATTTATTTTGGTCATTGTCAGCGCCGTTCTTAAGAGATCTTTTATTGAAGAGATATATGTTATTGCCAACTAGAGACAGACAAAAAAAAAAAAAAAAAAGGTTCTCGATATTTGACATTACCAACTATACTTCAAAACTTGCCAAATAAAATGCTAAATGTACAATTTTGCTCTAACTCAAATGTATATATAACAGCCTATGAGGTATTACTCCTTAATTCCCCGTTCGGGACGGCCCTCGTCATCCGTGGTCGTAACAATCATTCTAGCAAAAATAAAAATTATTATTATTATTTTTTTTACTTATTATTAGTTATTTATAAAACTGTTGTCTTGAATAAACAAGTTTAAATTAGCCTATTCTAGACAACATTCAATCCTTTATCTAACAATTATTCTAGTCATTTTCAGAAATAACTTTCATTTTGTATAGTTTGGTTTTGTGATTAAATGCGGCAGTTTCTTTTATCACCAAACCGATTAGAATTACTTAAATAACATCATCTTTAAATAATAGTATTATTAATAATTGCGTACAAAGAAGGTCTTTTAATATGTTGTTAAAAACTATTTCAGCAGGCATAAAGTCTTTAAAGACATTTAAATGGTTTAAATGTCTTTAAAGACTTTATGGTAACCAATAATAAAATTATGCCTCTTGCGTAAATTTTGCGATGTAATAGGCCGGGTGAATAAAAAAAAGAAATCCTTTTATTCAATAACTGTTTATCTTTACGTTAATGAAATTTTCTGGAATTTTGCTTATGTTTTTATTCACCTAAAGCTAAGCAATTACTGAGTAAATTGGTTAATTTGACGTGAATAAAAATTTGTGCAAAACTGCTGAATTTTTTATTCACAAAAAACTGACCATTTACTAAGTTAAAGTAATTTTTTTTTTATTCAGCCGGCTTATTATTAATATAACTCTGAAAAACCAATGATTTTGGGTAATAAATCAACTTTTGGTAAATAAAAAATACTTAAGTGTGAAACATAAGTATCTTCTTGTTTCAATCACTTTAGAGTATTGAGAAAAATGTTGAAACAACCACCTTATTGGGTTTGGGTGTAAACTATATATAATCATAACCTTTGAATTTTGAATTTTAAAACCTGTCAACTTATCTTTAGTGTGAGAAAATAAATTAAAAAAATTACTATTTTGTTGCCCTCACATTTAGGGTAGGGATAGTAATTGTTTTAGAGTTATTTTTTTTCCTAGGCTCAAATCAACACAAGTTTTATTTCTTAATCTACGTATAAATCATTGCTTAGCTATTGCTCGGGTTATGTGTATCATACACAGTGGCGTAGCAAAAAATTTTTTTGCAGTTTTGCTTAATGGGCCACATGCCCAGTTTTTGTTTCTCTGAAACAATAACTTTTCTAAAAAAAAAAAAAAAAAAAAAAAACTCTTTAAATACATCTTGAGGCTCGTAAACCTTGTGGCCATCGACCTAATTGGACGAATGAAAAAAATGTTGCTCACATTGACCTTTTTTAATTAGGCCTCTGATACTACACGCAGATAAAGATATTTTCATAAATAATTCTTAATTTTTTACACCCATAAAATACCGTAGTTCTTAAAACCAGTGTCGGATTAAAATTTGTAGAGTCTGGGGAAACTTTTGAGCAGACAGTCTATTTTCTTATTAAAGTGGAAAAAAATACCTTTAAAAAAATAAGGATTCTTCTAAAAATTACTGAGCACCTAAATCTGCGGGAGATGGAGTTATAGCCCCCATAATCCAGAACTAATTTAAACTTTACCACTTTTTTTTAAATAATTAGTTTTTAAATAATTAGAACTAACAATTATGCCAATTATGCTTTTCAAATAGCCTTTCCTTTCTGAGTCTCTTATGGGTATAAGCGTCGTCTCACTGCTTTGTCTGAAATCCAAACCATTCGAATGGTTCGCCAGAGAGTGAATATTCTTGAGACGGTTTGATTTAGAGAATGGTTATTATAGCTAAAATAATCTTGGACCGTACCTAGAGATTGTTTTAATCATGGGCAGAAATCTATTATTAATATTTTCAAACTTTACAGGAAAGAATACCTAATTCCGCGCAAATCAAATATTACGGCATTCTAAACGTTAGTGACTTAATTTTTACTTTTTTTGCATTACTTTTGTACAAGATTCTGTCAAAGCTATTGTAAATTATATGTAAATTTACATACTTTATAAAAATAATTTTTAATTTACTTTGCAAATTATGTAAAATATAAGCTTATGTTTTTAAAATTTTGTTTTATATACTTTATTCTTAAAAAGTATTAGTTATTACTTTTAAAATAAAAAATTCATACTTAAAAAGTATTATTTTATTTGCTTTTGGTAGCATATCACATTTATGTAATTTACTTTCAAACCCAATTTTTTTTTTTTTTTTAAATAAGTTTTTTTTTAAATTAGTTATTTAAATAGAAAAATATAAATTATAATTTGAGAAACTTTTATATTATGTAATGTAATTTTCAAAAATAATAAACTTTTAAATGTAAAAGTAAACAGCTTTTTTTATGTGATTTAGCTTTACATATAAAAGTAAGTTACTTTTTGATGTAATCTACTTTTACATAACTTACCTTTGTAAATAAAAAAACTTGTGTTATAAAGTAAAAGTTGTTTTAAAAATTTAATTACATATCCAGAAATGCAAATTTACATTAAAATAAGTAATTTACGTTTAAAATTACTTATGTAAATTACTTTTTGATAAAAATTAACTTACTCGTATAAGTAAAAAAAAAAGTTATAGAGCAATCCATAATACGTACAAAGTTTTGAACTTGTTTACCACGTAGTTGTAGATTGGTTCAATCTTTGCTTTTTACTAAAAATATTTTGGGAAATTACTGTTGTTAACAAAAAATAAATATCATCATAAGCAGGGATGCGGAGTCACAAAAAAGACTCCGGTTTTACATCTCAAATGTGTAAGTCTGTAGTGTCCAAAAGCTTATAATATATTTGTTAACTTATCAGCTATAACAAAAAAATTTATGTGATTTAAAGAATTAGAACTTATTATTTTTAAGCCCGGAATCCTTGCCGCCATTATACCTAAAGACTCCAGGTTCAAAAAATTATTGATTCTCTTACTTTAAAATTTAATTTTTTTTTTCTACAAGTAGTCCATTAACTTTTTTATATTTTAAGAGCTCCTGGATACCAAAAATTATGAAGAAGTAGTTTTTGTGATGTTAAAATCCGGAGTCTTTTTTAGGATTCCACATCACTGATCAAAAGACATCACTTTTTGAATTAATGGTGTGTCAAACAAAGGGCTTCTTGAAAAAGAGATCGCATATATTGGTTTTCACAAATATTGAAAATTAAACCTCACTCATATCATGACTCTAACATTGTAACCACAATATTTTAAGGTTACGCTCACAGGATTTGTTCTCTATAGCAAAATATATAAGCAAACTTTCTTTTTTAATACTTTTTTTAGAAATAAAAGCATATTCAAGTACTTAAAATTACATTTAATAACTAGCTCCACTCACAATAACAGTGATTAAATATATTGTTGCCACTATCTAACCAGTATAAGGTCCTAAAAAGACGTCTTATGAACGTTCAAAAGATGTTCTACACTTCTTTCGAACGTTCAAAAGACGTCCTTTTTGGACGAATTGCCCATTAGTTAACACTAAAATGCGCCTTTTTATGCCTATAAAAATAAATAAATAAACTATTACATATTGATTTAGAAGATTTCAATACTAAAATGCAAGGGTTAAAGTACATACACACACTTAAGGTTTGGGTTTAGGCAGGTATAATCAACATATAATAGACATTTATTATACATATTTACTTTCGATTTTCTTATCTTATGCTGTTGGGGATACCACAAATGATGAGGCTACTCTTTCGTGGCCCTGATATGTCCAACAAGATTCAACCAGTAAAACTAACGCTAGATGATTTATTTATAAATAAAAAGGTTTTTTTAATAACTGTTTTATGCTTCGCGTAGTTTGAAAAGTAAAACACGTTTGAAACTATTCTTTTTAGTCAGATAAACAAATGAAATAACTAAATCATTGAGTTACTGTAGAAATTCAGTTAACTAGATAGAAATGAACTAAAAAAGTTAAATTACTTAGTGAGGAGGAAGCGGAACAGCTTCACATTACCGCTGATAATGTTTAGTGAGTGGGCTTTATAATTTTAATTAGTATTTAAATCAGAAAAGAGTTAAGTATTACGAGTTTGTAAGAATGGCTGAAGCAAAAATAATTGAAGTTAGTTAACCAATTTCTAAGAACTTAAAAACTTTTCTTTCTTAGAATTTTAAAACATGAATTTAAAACATTTATTGGTGCAAACAATTTTTTTTACCTTTTATTGTTTAATAAATATATTATTGTAACTTTGTTTATAAAAATAGATATAAAAATATAAAAGTATTAAAATTAAGTAATTTCTCTATTTTCAATTGTTTCTTTTTTTATTAAAAATGAAGTCCAAAATTAATTTTGCTGTTAGTTTAAAAAATTTATAGCTTTGTAGATGTGGCTTCGAGAATGACATAGTATTAAAATAAAAGTTCGTTTGATAGTATATTGTTAAATCAATATATGCGACGAAAACATAACAAAACTTAAATAATACAACTTATTAAAATAATTCAACAGAATACTCTAGAACATTCGGTTAGGATTTTTTGAATACTTTAGAAATTTCCGCTAGCATTTTTTGAACCAATAGAATTAGTTGTTCTTAGATTTGGCGTTTTTTTTTGTTCGCGAATATTCTTTTTTTTATTTTTCCGCACAAAGTTTGAGAACATTTGAGTTTATGTGTGTTTCCGTGTATGTCCGTAATACGAGATTTACGATAACTTAATAATTATTTTGCGTACAAACAAGGTAACATATGTGAACTTGAATGTTCTCAAAACTACAAAAAAATCTGGCCGGTTTTTCGAAACTAAATATCATTTCCGTGGTCAGTTATCGAGTGCGATCGCACCCGCTTCCCGACAAAGCCTGATTTTATAAATGTAATTAAAAATCTTTCACTGTTTAAAGCAAAATTAATTTTGGAATTCATTTTTAATAAAAAAAGAAACAATTGAAAATAGAGAAATTACTTAATTTTAATACTTTTATATTTTTATATCTATTTTTATAAAGAAAGTTACAATAACATATTTATTAAACAATAACGCGTAAAAAAATTGTTTTACTGCAAAAATTGATTAAGATAAACGCCTATATTAGGTTATCATTATGTGAAACAAAAAAAAAAAAAGGTTACGGAAAATAGTTATAGTCATAGTTCAACCTATTTAAAGTTACCTAATTAACCTAAATAAAGTTTCAACCGCGATCTTGAACGGACGTATTATTTTATTGAAGGAAAAAAAAAAATTGTGAAATTTTCAGCAACCAATATAAAGGATTAACCGGAGATTCATGAAAACACATTAATAAAACTTTTTAATGATAAATTCGATAAAATGGAAATTTAATTTAATATTATACAAGAAGAAAATAATATTCTTAAAAATGAAATGAAGGAATTAAGAAATGCAGTCGACTTTGTAAGTGATAAGTATGAATCAACTCTAGCCGAATTGAAAGAACTGAAAAAAAACACCATTTCAAATGTTGAGCTAACAGATAACATACAGTTTAATGACAAAAACAATGATGTGAAAGACAAGCTTGCCGAACTTGAAGATCGAAGTCGCAGAAATAATTATAGGTTTAATGGAGTCGAAGAAAGCGAGAACGAATCATGGGAAGACAGCGAGAAAAAAATTCAGGAAGTCTTAAAATCCAAGTTTGGTTTTACTAATAATTTAGAGATTGAAAGGGCACATCGAACAGGAAAAAAAGAAAAAGGAGTTAAAAAGAACAGAACAATAATTGTAAAATTTCTTAATTACAAAGAAAGAAACGCAGTTTTTGAAAAATTTATCAAATTAAAACTTTGGAATGAAAAACTATATGCTAATGAAAATTTTAGCAAAAGAACCATGGAAATTAGGAAAAAGTTGTTTAAAGAAGCGAAGGAATTAAGAGCCAAAGGTAAATTTGCTAAAGTTATTTACAACAAACTTATTACGCGCGATTTTTAAATAAATTCTTTTATTTCTAGTTATTTAACTTTTAAAAATGGATTCCAATTATCAAAACAATTTTGATTCGTTATCATTTAACTTTTTTCAATCTAACGACTTGGTGCTTGACACTAATTCAGATCCGGATTTAAACTATTTTAGTGATGTAGGAGCTTTGCGAAACAATTGTTCCTACTTCTATAACAAAGAAATAAAAGAATTTATTTCTCGGGATCATTTTAATGTTATTCATTTTAACATTAGAAGTCTTAAAAAAAACTTTGAAAATTTGTGTACTTTAATAGAGGAAACTTCAAATATATTTAGTATAATTTGCTTAACTGAAACGTGGTGTGAATTTGATGACGCTAAATCTAATTTAAATCTCCATCTTCCAGGTTTTAATATGATCCCACTAGCGCGTAAAGCAAATTAACGCGGAGGTGGTGTACTTTTTTATATAAAAGAAAATTTGAGGTTTTTTATTAGGCCTGAGATGGGTATTTCTAATGACAATAAAGAAATTTTAACAATTGAACTTTTAACCAATAATTCTAAAAACATACTTATAAGCTGCTGTTATCGCCCACCATCTGGCCATATTGAAAGTTTTAATGCATTTTTGTGTAATGATATTTTAAAAAATAGTTTTAAGGAAAAGAAACTAAATTATCTAATTGGTGACGTAAATTTAAATTGTTTTGAATATCACGTTAATAGCAACATTAAAAAGTTTTACGATGACTTATTCGAACATGGATCAATTCCACTAATTAACAAACCTACTAGAGTAACCTCAACTTCAGCTACCTTAATTGACAACATTATAACAACTGATATCTTCAATGAAACTCTTAAAAAAGGTATAATAAAAAGTGACGTTTCCGACTACTTCCCTATTTTTTTCTCTATTAATATTGACAACAAATTGATACAACAACATAAAAAAGTCATTATCAAACGCTTTTTCACCGATGCTAATTTTGCGTCGTTTAAAGATCAATTATCTTTAATAAATTGGAATCATATAAACAGTTCGTTTGAAGCTAATGAAGTATACGATACATTCTTTCAAACTTTCTATGAAATATATGATGTAAATTTTAAACGTGAGTTTATTATAACCAATAAAAGTTTAAAGTCACCATGGGTCAATAAAGATCTTAGGAAATCCTCAAAAATAAAGCAAAAACTGTATATAAAGTACTTAAAAAAACCAACACCAGAAAATAAAATTATTTATAAAAATTATGCTAAAATGTTTGAAAGTCAAAGAAAAAAATTTAAAAAAAGATATTACTATGATTTACTAGAAAAATATTAACATAATTCAAAACGCACATGGCAAATTATAAGTCAAATTACTGGAAATAGTAAATTAAAATTATGCTCTATATCTAACACTATAAAAGTTGTTGGTATATTTTTAAATGAACCCAAACAAATTGCAAGAGAATTAAACTAATATTTCGTGTCTGTTGGCCCAAACTTGGCTAAAAATATTCCAAATATGATTAATCCAATAAATGATTACGTGTTTCCATTAATCTCTAATTTAAATAAATTTGAAGTATCTTCTTCAGAACTTGAAAGTGCTTATAAAATGCTTAAAACTAATAAAGCAGAAGGTCCTGATGATATAAATTGTAATATAGTCATAAATTCATACGATACCATAAAACTTATTCTTTTTAAAGTTTTTAAATGTTCTTTTGATCAAGGAATTTTCCCCGATCAATTGAAAATAGCCAAAATAACGCCTGTATTTAAAGGAGGTGAACCGTCTAATGTCAGTAATTATCGACCAATATCTATCCTCTCTGTTTTTCCAAAAATTTTAGAAAGAATTTTGTTTAATCAAATATCTTATCAGCTTGCTATTATTAATATACTTTACATAAACCAATATGGTTTTAAAAGAAATAACTCTACTGAACATGCAACAATTCATCTTACTCGTAGTATAACTGATTCTTTCGAACAGTCAGAGTTCACTTTAGGCGTCTTTATAGACTTATCTAAGGCTTTCGACACAATTGACCATGAAATATTGTTTAAAAAACTTGAACATTATGGTATCATCGGTAATGTTTAAAACTACTAAAAAGCTATTAAAAACATCTCAAACAATTTGTCTATGTCGACGGATCTTCTTCACAAGATTATTTAAATATAGATTATCTAAATATAACCTGTGGAGTTCCACAGGGATCTATATTAGGGCCCTTATTATTTCTAATTTATTTTAACGATCTCCATGAAGTCTCAAAATTAACAACTATAATGTTTGCTGATCATACAAACCTATTCCTATCAAATAATAACATCGATAAACTTTTTTATGATATGAACATTGAACTAATAAAAATATCTGACTGGTTTAAGTTAAATAAACTTTCACTCAACATTGATAAAACTAAATGGATTTTTTTTCATCCACGATTTAAAAAACATTTACTCCCAAGTAATATGCCTCTTCTTAATATTGATAATATTCAAATAAAAAGAGTAGTTTTCAAAATATTTCTAGGTATCATTGTTGATGAAAATCTCTCATGGAAGAATCACATCGGACATTTAAGCAACAAAATTGCAAAAAGTATTGGAGTTTATTACTCACTCAAGGCCACTTTTATTTAACATGAATGTTTTTAATATATATATCAAATAAATGTTTATAATGTTCTTTGTTTTATGTTTAAATGTAAAACCAATTCTTTCCCAGCTTCCTTTTTTGATTTATATTCTTTAAAAGAAAAAAACAAATATTCTTTAAGAACTGATAATTTTATTAAATAACCAAGATATCAAACAAACTTTGGTAAATTTTGCATTTCTTTTCGTGGAGCTTTTTTATGGAACCAAATAATTTTAAAAAATTTTGATTTTTCTCATGAATGGAATTATTATATGTTCAAAAGAAAACTAAAAAAAGTAATATTCTCAATTGAAAATATATTTATATACTTTTAATTTTACCCAGTATTGTCATCACTCATTTATATTTTACTTTTATACAATATTGATTTAAAGTTGATGTCAGAAACTGTAGTTAAACATCATTATTTGAATTTTGTTAAAAGTTCCACTGACATTATTTGTACAGTAGTCATTTATTATTTACTTGTTTACTTTAATTTTTATTTTATTTTGTAATTTTGTAAATAAATAATTTGTATTACGAACGGTATATACTTTTAATATTGAATTTAACTTTGTAATAAAAAAAAAAAATATATATATATATATATATATATATATATATATATATATATATATATATTATATATATATATATATATATATATATATATATATATATTATTATTAAAAAAACAAAAAAACAAAAAAAAACAAAAAAATTTGATGTATGTGACTGAATGTATCTGCAAACATTGTATGTATGACACATTTGGAAATTAATCATCCTTTGACAGTGGTTTAGCATTTTTGTCGGCGAAAGCGTTAACGTAAATGCACCAACATTTGATAATTTTGGCTTCTCACACAATGACACCATCATTTGGCTATCTAAATTCTTCTAAACAATCTTTTGGACAATCTTGAAGTGAATTTGGATGTACCTAGTGCAATCATATTCTTATTATTTTTGTTTATTTATTAATTAATTAACAATTAAGATCGGTGTAACTGTAAAATAGATTTGAGTAACAAGAATCAATGATCGAGTCAAATGCGAGACGTATTTATTTATTAAGAATACTATGATATTATTATTTTCGCTTGAATCATCCGGTTCAGAAGAATTAGTTTAATTTGGCTGGAATTAAAATTAATTAACTTTAATTCCAGCCATAAAGACAATAACTTTAAAAAGTTAAAAACTAGTGTTTATTTATTTTTGTTTTTCCTGAAATCTAAACTAAGTTCAAAGTTCTTCGACAGCGGTTCTCAGTGACAAGACCTGTATGGTCTTCTTTGAGTATCCACGTTCTTTATCTTAATTCTTTATTATTTTGTAACGATTTTTTTTGCATGTAAATT